CTTGTTTAAGAATAACCGGCCAGACCTTACCTAGTGCTTTTATTAGAGGTGATCCACGCTTGCAGCGAGAGGTGCTCAGACCTTGCGAGAGGGTGATGCCATATTTGGCTATGAGGACTCTCGCCCATAAAGACTTCGTTAAAAGGCCCCAACCCAATTTCATCAAGAGAGCATAGTTCATGCGCCGCAATTCTTTGATGCCCAAGCCTCCGTCGTCTTTGGGCTTACACACTTCACGCCATGCAACCAAATGGATTTTCCTTCTCTTGATAGAACCACCCCATACGAAGGACCGACTACGGCGCTCCAAACCTTCTGTAAGTGAGCTCGGCAACAGGACTGATTGCATAGCAAAATTTGGTATCGAGTTTAACACGGACTGGGTGAGGGTAACCCGCCCTGCGAGAGAAAGGGTTTTCATGCGCCATCCGTTTAAACGTGCTTCCACTTTGTCCACTAGATGCGAGAAAGTGGTGGAGTTTATCCGGCCATGGATTACAGGAACACCAAGGTACTTTCCCATATTATCCGTCCATTTGAAGTGGAGGGCTCTCGCCAAACGATGCTGGCTGTCAAGTGCGACATTCTTGGAGAAAAAGACTTGGGTCTTGGTCGTGCTGACTTTGAGTCCCGATATGCGGCAAAAGAAGTCAAGGATCTGCTTAAGGACTCAAGCTTGCTCATCTGAGGCCTCCATGAAGAGAAGAAGGTCGTCGGCGAACATTAAGAAAGGGACGGCAACGACTCCTCGGCCAACGGATATCAGCTTCCAATTTTTCTCTGCCACTGCTTTGTCAATGATTTGAGCTAGCCTCTCCATGCACAACACGAAAAGGTATGGCAAGATGGGTTCGCCCTGTCTGACCCATCGAGTCGGTTGAAATTCCTCCCCGATTGTCCCATTCCACAACAAGCTCATCGACGCCGATCGCACACAAGCCATGATGGCCTTAACCATTATGACGGGGTAGCCGGCTAGATGAAGGGTCTCTTAAATGAAGTCCCACCTGAGGTAATCATAGGCTTTCTCAAGGTCAACTTTGATAACCATGTGGCCCGTTGCTCCTTTGTTGCGTCTCATAGAATGGATGAGTTTTTGAGCTACCACAATATTGTCGAGGATTTTTCGGCCTGGGACAAAGCTAACTTGGGCTGGGTGAATGAGGTCAGGGAGGGTCTCTTTCATGTGATTCACCAAAACTTTAGTGAAGAGCTTGTAGATGACATTGAGCAAGCTAATGGGCCGGAAGTTTCTGATGGTGGTTGGGTTGTCGGTCTTGGGAATTAAGATAATAAGCATTTGGTTGACCGCTTTAGGGACCTGCCCTTGGTGCCACATTTGTCGGATGAATTCCCGCGTGGATGGTCCACAACCTCCTAATTCTTCTTAAAAAATAACGCATTCAGCCCAAACAAGCCCGGGGCCTTAAGTGATCCCATACTTTGCAGCGCTGCAAATATCTCACCGTCCGAAATGTCTTCTGTCATTGCCGCCACCGAAGCCTCATCGTAAGGAAGGAAAAAATTTGGCAGGTGGTGAAGCGGTTCGGTGCTCGGGCCCTCCGTGTATATGTGTTTAAAAAAATTCGTTGCAAGAGATCGCAGGGCTCCTTGATCGGAAACTCGATTCCCTCCATCATCCACTAGTTTCGTAATTCGCCCCCGTCGACGTCGGGCTTTGAGCAGCTGATGGTAATAAGAAGTATTACGGTCACCAAGATGCATCCAATCTCTAGTGGATTTCTGAATAAGGAGCAACTCCTCTTGCATGATGACCTCGTCCAGTTTCGCACGCAATTGTGTTTCTAAGGTTACGGGACTCTCTTTGAAATAAAATTGGCTACTTCGTTGAATACCACCTATCCGGGCTAGGAGATTTTTCTTTCGCTGGAAGATATTACCAAACACGTTTAGGTTCCATGTTTTCGCTGCCTCCGTGAAATTTTTTGCCGCCTCAATAAAGCACACAGAGGAGGTCCAAGAGTCACGAATCATTTCGGGAAACCCAGGGTGCAGGAGCCACGCCGCAAGGAAACGAAAGGGTTTGGGGCCTTGTGGGATAAAGTCCAAGCGGCCAAATTTCAACATAAGGGGTGAATGGTCTGATCGTACTCGCGGGAGGAGCCGGACCCGACTTGTCTCATATTTGTCCATCCAGGCCATATTCGCAACGAAACGGTCCAGTTTCTTGGTGACCTGCCCGTGTTGCCCATCACGGATCCACGTGAAAAGATGGTCGTCAGTAGCCACCTCTTGAATATTATAATTAAACATCCACTCGACGAACTCCCTACTCACATTGCAGTGTCCCGACGCGCCTCCCATTTTTTCTGAGTGGTGGAGAAGGCAGTTAAAATCACCCCCTAAAAGCCAAGGTTCTGAGATCCCTACGGCCAGCCTTTCAAGTGTGGCCCACAGCCTGCGCCGAATAACTGAAGTAGAACTGGCGTAAATAAAGGAAATAAGACATGCTTCATCCTGTTTGGTAGCCCGGACGTGAATCAACTGTCTAGTGGAGGCTAGCACTTCGATATGCACCTCGTCTGTCCAAAGTAGCCATATACCTCCAGAGAAACCCCGGGCCTCAACTCGAAATGAGTTGTCAAATTTACTGTGTTTCACAAACTTATCTGCGTTGGCTCCACTAATCCGTGGTTCAAGTACCGCTACTATATCCGGCTTGGATTGGCGCATGAGTGTGGAGAAAGCCCCCCGGAAACCGGCTGAGCCTGCCCCCTGAACGTTCCAGCTTATAATATTCATTGAAAGGGTCAAAAAGAAATATGATCTGAGGAGCACATTAGGCGAGACCCGGGGCTAGCGAGGTCGATGCCTCCTCAACGTGCATGGGCTGGTCTGTATCCTCCGAAGGAGCCGGAGGTCGTCGGTGGGGATGTGGCTCCTCCGGCCACGGTTCCTTAAGGTTGATTTCGTGTTCTCCCTCCAACATGGCGGCGTCATCGGCTAAGTCTATGGCATCAGGCTGAGAAGGGTCGATATGTGGGTGCTCGTTTCTTGCTCATCTTCAACGATAATAGCCTTGTGTTTGGACGGGTCTAGCCCTGCGCCGACATGAATAATACCTACTTGGCTCAGAATTTGGGCCTGAGGTAGGACTCTTGCACTGCTCCGTTTAGGGGCTGTGGGATCTTTTGGGCCAGTAGTGGGATGTTGGGCCTGGGCCTTGTTATTGACAAGAGTATGTTTTGGTCCAAGAGGCCCTACCTTCACGCTGTCTTGTGGCTAAGTGTTGCGATCGACCTGTCTCGTACCCTTTTGTTTGCTCTTAACTAGACGCCAGTCTTTTCCCCCCGAGAATCTAGGAGTTCCTGATTGTGCCTCAGACGTCTCTCCATAATCCGCCAAAGAGTGGCTTCCAAATTCAAAATGGGGAGAGGATTCCCTAAGATCCTCCTTTTGTAAAATACCAAAACGGGACCCTGATTTCATGGAAGGGGGCAGATTTTTAGCAGGCTGGCCTCTATCCATCCCCTTATCGCGCCGCGCGTAGGATTGACGTGTTTTCTGTGGGACTTGCATCCACGGCCCGTAGCTCGGCTCAGGCCCGTGATCCTCCATCACCGATTTATCCTTGGATTTGGCACCTTGTTCCTGGCTAGTCCCAGAGGTAGCATCATGACGGGTCACCGGGTTGTCCCTTTGTTCTAGATTTTGCGGATGGTGAGGGCAGACATGACTCGAGTGTCCCAATCGACCACATTGGAAACAAATGTTTGGGAGGTTTTCGTATACTATCTTTTGTTGCCGACCATTGATGATAAATTTTGTGCGTAGAGGTTTCGTGATATCCACCAGCACTGCAAGTCGCGCAAATTTTCCACGGGTGCAAGCTGCCGTTTGTTGATCAATTTTGATGACCTTACCTACGATTCGGCCAATAGACCGGAAAATCTGTTTCTGATATAGGTGGGCTGGCATCCCGGGCAGATGGATCCACGCAACAGTAGTCGTTATCTCTGCCTCATTAGCGTCAAAGTCTAGATTCCAAGGCTGGACGTGCAAGTATCCACTGCCAATCACATACGGGCCTCCCGTCAGTACTCGTTTCGTATCCTCTCGGTTAACAAAATGGATTAGATAATAGCCATTTTCCAGATCCATCATATTGCAGCCCGCCATGAAAGGCCACATTTTGGTCAGGCGGTTATACAAAGATGCCATGGTAATCGAGTCGTCGAAGGGTTTGATCACTACCACGTTCTGCCATTCCTTGCTGATCCGGTCAAAGAATCGCTGGGCAATAGTAGTTTCCGGGGTCAGATTAGAGAGATCGACCGATATGTCGTCCGTCTCGTCCGTATCTGCTTCATCATTCTCGTCACTCATGTCCACATGAGATTTGTGGCGGTTCACCATATCTCGAAAAGTCCATCGCACCGGAGGAGCCCCCATAGGAGCCGGCGGCTCGGTAGGTTGCGGCGAGGGTTGCTGGTTTGGGAGGTCCAAGAAGTCGCCTAGTCGTTTACGGGTACGTATGCGCTTGGAGGCAGGCTGGAGTGCCGCCGTTAATGGTGGGAAGACCGAATCGGCTGCGCCTTGCGGCGGGGTTACTCCTGGATCAAAAGTCGCCATAGTTCTCCTTGTGCTTTTTTATTTTCAATTAGAGATAACATAAATATAATATAAATAAAAAATATTATTTCAGTTATTAAGAATAATTCAGTTAATCAAACCGAATAAATCAAATTATGTTCGACTTCAAATTGTTGTAGGAAAAAAAAACGTTTGGTTCAATCTGCACAATACAGACAGACACCGTGCACCATAGTGTTGGACGAATTGCACCATAATGTTGGATGAATTGCACTGTTTGGATTTCACACAATATTTTGTTTACATATATATTGTTTTTAATCAAAAGATAATATAATATATTAAATAAAATTATATTATAAACTAAAAATATTTTTTATGATAAATAATATAATTTATTTGAATTACTTTATAATGTGTAATTTATATAGCATTGATGCATTGTAGTGCATTAACTAAACTTGTATCATATTACACATTTACCCAAAGCATTAAATTGAAATAAAATAAACTTAGATAAATTACACCCAATCCCCTAGAACAAATCAAATTTCCAAAAAAGAACCCACAAATCCAAAACACATCATCTCCGTCCACCTCTGCCTGGGTTCATTCCGGACGTTAAGGTCAATGTCCATATGGCCACTCGTCGCCTTCTTCACCGACTAATACTTGACGGACTTCATCAACACAAAGAAAAAAAAATCGGCATTAATCATCGTAGAGCATCGCCGCCGTCGTGTGGGGGATGGGAATGACGGTGGTGGCTATGCAGTAGCGGCTGGAACAGTGCTAAACGGATGAAGGATCACCGATTGGTGTCGCTGGAGGTGGCGACCTTCTTCTCACTGCTGGAAATGAGTGAGAGCAGGATTCGCAATTTATAATACATACATGGCGGCGAAGACACGGTGGCGGCAGCGCGGCGGTGGGAGCAGTGATAAAAGCTCTGAAGATTCTTCGATTGGTTTCGCCGGAGGTGTCGACCTTCTAATCGTTTCCGGAATTGAGCAGCAAGTTACAATAATGAGAAGGTACCTCAGGCGGCGAAAAATGGCCGACGGTTGGGGCATAATAAATCTGCTCAGCGACGGTTGTGTCGTGTGTGTGTGTGTGTGTGTGTGTGTGTGTGTGTGCGAGACTGAAATATGTGTGTGTGTGTGAGAGAGAGAGAGGAAGAGAAAAAGAGAGAGAGAGAGAGAGACAGAGAGAGAGAGAGTGAGAGTGAGTGAGAGAGAGAGAGAGGGAGAGAATGAGAGAGATTGTGACGGTAAATGAATTATGGTTGGGGGATGGTGGGGATGTAATGATGGTGGGCCCCACTTAGTTATGGTGATGTTAAATTACATCAGTGTCCTTTAATGTTTTCATTTGACCATAAAATATACATATATTGACAAGTATGCTATTAAAGTTTGACTTTATCATGTCCATTGATATTATTGATCTAATGGTATAGATTCATTCTTATTTCTTTCACTATCTCTTTTTCTCATATGATCCCTTATATATATATATATGATGTGGTTCAAATGAGAACCAAGTCCTAGTGTGAGAACCGTGAGAACTGCTATTTTAAATGGTATGTAGTGCTGCTATGCTTGTGTTTTAGTGTTATTTTTAATTATGATGTATTTTATTAAAAATAACAATAAATTTTTTACTAGCATTTGTGAAAATAATAGCACAATGCAATATTAAAAATAACATCATACACAATTATAAATAGCATCAAATATGGTTCTCACGGTTCTCACACGAGACTTAATTTTTATTTGAACCAGCCCCTATATATATATATATATAGGGGATAGATCAAATGAGGACATCCCTTAAAATAGGAACATAAGACTCCATCACAACCGTCCATTTAGCTGAAATTATCAACGGCCAGGATTAAGTATATATATATATATATATATATATACAATAATTACCAGTTCAAATCACACAACTCACGTATCGCGCACAAATTTAAAGAGAGAATCGTGCAAAATCTTCTCAATCTCAACTTTCCTAATCAACATTCAAATTGATTTTGAGATCTTATTACAAGATAATTTTAGATTTCGATCAATATCCAAAGAAAACGCATCAGAAATCTCAATATCAAAAGAAAGCGCATCTGAAAATGCATAGATTGAAGGAGTACTAAGAAAAATCTATTAAATTGCAATGACGATGGAGGACAATTCAACAGAGATCGAAGCATCTCCAATGGCGACAATAACGGAAGAAGGTATTCACAGTTTTTTTTCCCACATTGATTAATTGAAATTGAAATTATTTTGTGTTGATGCAGTAGTTGTTGAAATTATTCTTTGTTGATGCAGTAGTTGTTGATAATGTTGAATAAATTGTTCATGTTAGCCTAGAATTTTGATTCATGATATAATCTACGATTTCTGAAAATCTAGCATTTATGTTCATCAATTTTATAATAACTTAGCGACATATTTTCAATAACCATGCGACAATGTTACAGTAACTCTGCATCGATTTTTTTAAATAACTTCGCAACATCTGTTTTGAAAAAGACAACTAACCTTACAACTACATACAACTAACCTTGCATCTACGGACAACTAACCTTACTACTATAGTTAACTAACATTGCAATTAAAAAACTAAACTTGCAACTATGGACAAATAACCTTGCAACTATAATCAACTAACTTTGCAACTAAAAAAAAACTAAACTTGCAACTACGGAAAACAAAACTTGCAAATAGATATAACTAAGCTAGCAGCAACATAAAACTAACATTGCAACAAGATATAACTAACCTTGCATTTGAAATAATTAAGGCTTATGTTTCAATCATATTTTTCAGCAGGTACTACACATGAGGAATGTCAATTTCAATTGGTGATATTACCAAATTCAACAAAGTATTGGATACCAATTGTCAAATAAGATATAAACCCTTAGCATGATCTTCTAAAATCTGGAAATTAGAATGCAATATTACAGAAACTATGGAGCAAATGGTGGATTTGATGTTCGTTTTAGCTCGAAAAAACTGTTTAGAAGTGGGGTAGTAATAAAACAATATATATAGTTTGCAGCAAAGAAGGATTTAAACTACAATCCAGGGCAAATAATTCAGCAGGAGTTCAACGAGAACATGTTTTAAAAAGAATTGGTTGCATGGCTCGAGCAGTGTTTGAATATGATGATGGAAAAGGATACAAAATTACATATTTTGAAGAAAAACACTGCCATAGTATGATATTAGAAGCACATTATTTGAATGCAAACATGCAACTAAATTATGGCCATCAAAGGTTTGTCCTTAATTGTGTAAAAGCCAACACTGGACAAGCTAAATCACACAGGTTATACAAGGAAATGGTTGGGGATATGAAAATATTGGTACTCTGGCAATTGATTTTAAAAACATCTAAAGAGAGCTTATGACTTACATGTCAGGGGCAGATGCACAACTCATTATTCGAAAATCTGTTAACAAGCAGGAAGCTTACCCAGACATTGCATTTGAATATGCAGAAAATGAAAAAAATCAATTAAGTAGGATCTTTTGGGCAGACCAGATTTCAAGAAAAAATACCTCATATTTGGAGATGTTGTTTCATTTGATGAAACCTACAACACTAACAGGTACACAATCATTTCCCTTGACTTGACTCTAATTTATATGTAATGGATGTTTTCTAGTAGCATGTTAATTAAACTAACTGTGCAACTAGATAGAACTAACCTTGCAACAAAAGATAACTAACCTTGCATCTACAGACAACTAACTTGCTACTACATAAAACAGACCTTGCAACTTAGATATAACTATCCTTGCAACTGCAGACAACTAACATTGCTACTACATAGAACTAACCTAGCAACTACAGACAACTAACCTAGCAAAAAGAGACAAATAACCTAGGAACAACAAAAAACTAACCCTGCAACAAGATAGAACTAACTTTCCAACTACAGGCAACTAACATTGCACCTAGTTAAAACTAACATTGCAGCTATACATAGAACTAACCCTGCAATTACAGATAACTAACCCTGCAACTACAGACAACTAACCTTGGAACTACAGACAACTATCATAGCAATGACAGACACTGCAAAGATATATAACTATTCTTGCAACTACAGTAAACTAACATTGCAACTAAATACAATTAAACTTGCAAGTAATGTACTACTTAACAATTTCATTTATTCTGATTTGCTTTCTATTTTTAAACAGGTACAAAATGGTGTTTGTACCATTTACATAAATTGAAAGTATGTCACATTTGGAGCTGGATTGATGGTTAAAGAGGATGAAGAATCATACATTTGGTTATTGGAAAATTTTTTTAAAGCTATGGGAAATGAACCATATTACATTGTTACTGACCAAAATCCTGCTATGAAGAATGCAATTCGGGCGACTTTTAAACAGGCAAGACATCGTTTGTGCATGTGGTATATTATGAAAAAGGTAAATGTAATGGTTGGCCCTACATTAGCGAAGGATAATAACTTCATCAAAAAGCTAAATGAAATTGTGTCGGATATTTACATCAATCTTGATGAATTTCAAGAAAAATAGGGAAAATTGATGAATGATTTTGCCTTATCAGAGAATCAGTGGTTTGACACTCTATTTCATATTAGAAAATCATGGATACCACCATACTTTAAAGATGTCAAAATGGGTGGCCTATTGAAAACAACTTCTAGATCTGAAAGAGTTAATAGTTGGTTTGGAAGTTACATATCTCCTCAAGCAAACTTAGTTGAGTTCTTTATGCATTTTGAAAGTGCAATGGATGCACAAAGGCATGTTATA